GACTCATTGACGGTAGCGTGCGAGTGATTATGCGGAGGTCCATTGTCCTTTCCCTTGCCCTTCTCGTCCTTCTTGTTCCCCCACCCTTCGGCTTCTTCTCAGGATACTTCTTCCAACAAGAAGATTCATCGTGAGTCTTGCCGCCACAGTGACCACAAGGGCCTTTCTTCTTGGGCTTGGTCTGAGAAACACGAGTCGCCGAAGTGCGGTTTGCCATACCCGTCTTCTGGATGTTCTCGTAGGCGAGGGTCTTCTCGCGAACCCTATCGACCTTGAGGTCTTTGAGCTCGACCGAGGTGAGGAGGCCAGAGATCAGGTTGCGATAGGACTCAGGGATCTTGGACAGGACAAGCATCGCCTGAAGCTTCTCAGGGAGTGCAAGACCGCTATCCTTAATCTCCTTGAGACGAGTGACGAGTTGGTCAAACTGGTGCTGGATGGGCTTCTGGTCATTCATGCGATCCAAAGCGATAAGGCCTTCAAACTTGTACCAGACAGCAGCGGCGTCAGGAGTGCCAAAGGTGTCCTTGAGAGCCTTCCACATCGCATGCGGTTGCTTGAGATTGCCAGCATCATCTTCGAGGAGACAATGGAGTGAACGATCGACCTTCATCATGATGATACCCTGGGCCCGTTGAACCTTAAGGTCATGCTCCTTAAGTTCTTCAGCCGTTGCAGTAGTAGCCGTAGTAGCGGGTGCCGAGTTGGTAACGGTCCAGGATCCAATCATGATTAGATAGCCCTTCATCTGCGCAGCCCAGTTGGGGTACTGGTTGATGTTGGAAAGGGACGTGAGAGAACTCGAGTCGACCTTGTCCGACATGACGAGGGAATGGAGTAGAAGATGACGATCAAAGAAGTCGTCTGGTTGCGATGGAGGTGGAGCGCGAAAGAAAGAATCAAAGTCTTGCTCGAGATAGTGAAGAGGGATGGATAACGGGACTGGCGTTGGAGGCTCTGAGTCCGGTAGTCCAAAGGCAGCAGCGCGGATAAACGGTTCGGTTGTCTGAGGATCGGAGCAGAGGGCGAAGGGGAAGCTGACAGGAAGGTCTGCTGGATTGAGTGGTCCTGAGAGACGATTGGGACAGGTCTCTTCGTCGCAAGGGTACCACCCGTCTTCTTCGCTATGATAGTCTCTTTCTTCCTCTAGCTCGAAGATATGAGGTAGTCCTCGACAATCGAAAGGTGTTTCTTCTTCTTCGGAGGATGTGGAGTTGATAGCTTGTTCAACCTCCTCGTCCGAAGAGATAGAGGGTTCCGCTGCTGTTGTCGGATCCAAAACAGCCAGGAGACAGGGAAACGCGATGTAAGATGGAGAGCCACGTGCGAGAGCGACGAGATATGAATGCCTATTGAGGCAACCAGGAAGCAAGTGTTGAACCCGGGGGGCGAAGGCCTCTCCCACGGGTGGCAACGACAGCGGATAGCCTGCAACTCACCTAGAAGGGTTGTTGGTTGTAAGAGGCTTGTTAGAGCGATGAGAGGAGATGTTCGAGTGAACTGAACTGTAGATTGGGGGTACAGAGGTCCCCTATATATACTACTGTACATCTGTGGCTACGTAGTACTATACAGTACCTTCCCAGGATGCACAGTCGCACAGAGAA